CGGGTAGGCATGGAGCAAAGATCTACGACGGATTGTGCATTGTTGAAAGAAATTGAGAATGAAGAGAAGTGCGAGCTCCGTGTGGGCGAAAAAAAGTGCGGCGCGTTATATAGTATTATTATCACTGTTTCTCAAATGGAAGCTCGCTCGGCGTGGCGCGCGCGCGAGTATAGTGGTAAGACCCGAGCAAATTTTATATCGCGAATGCTGAAATCGATACGGACGTCCATTATAAACTTTGCATTATAATGGTATTGTTTCGTACAAACCGTGGAATATATATATGTCGGTGATGAAAATACTGCCCATTTCGCTGAAAATCACATTTAAAGTATCGGAAAACCTTTGCGCGCGATTCGTTAAAAGTTGTGCGTTTTATTTTTTAATAAAATAAAATTTCGCCGTCGACGAGCAGGCAGGCAGCAGCGGCAGGGCACGCTCGGCGCGCTCTCGGGGGCTTTTCTGCTTCATCCACTATATGGCACTGTGCTGCTGCTGCTGCAACTATTCGGCCGCGCGTCTCTGTGCACGCCCATTTAACAGGGGGGTGTTAGACAATAACAAATATATTGGACAGAGAGAGAGAGAGAGAGAGAGCAAGAGCGAGCGAGAGGGAGAGAAGTCGTTAGCAGAAACGCACAGTAAGCCTCCGTGTACGGATATGTGCAGGCTCGTGTATATGTGTTATATATTCCGCACTATAGATGCTAGTCGTGTACACGTCCCGCTTGTACTACCCTCGACGTGTTAACAGTACTGCCTTGTAGCCTACTGGCCTCTCTTCGATTTACGATCGCCTACACACACATACACACGTGGATGCATCATCGATATAGACGCCTGCCTTTCCATTGTTGCATAGTCAATTCATTTCTCTTTTTATCCTCTCTCTCGCAGCAGCTCTCTCTTTCTCTGCCTATATACCCGCTTCACGCGTTTCGCAATCTGATAATTAAAAAAGAGAACAGTTGACCAGCGACGTGACTGTGACGCTCGAGAGTTTTTCTTTTAAACGGCATTTGAGTATAAAAAAAAAAAAAATAATAATAATCACGGCAAAAAATTGCTCGCGAAAATTTTCACAAGAAAAATGTCTCTTGCGCCTCTCATCTCGTGACTTGCTTTTGCATGCGTCGGTGTACGGTGGATATAAATCGATTTTCAAGCATCAACGTATCGGGCTAGGAAAGTATAACGCACGCATATTCGCGACGTCAACTTGCTGAGCACACACCGCAAGCCACCAGCTTGTCATTTTTTAATTTCGATCCATCATTCAGAACTGTCATAAACAGCTTCCGAGCGTCGTGCTGAATTCGTTATCTTAACGGTGCTGCCTAAACGAAATAAAAAAAAAAAAATAGCAATGCAACTTGCGCTGCGTTATTTTTAGCTCTGAAAGTAGAACAATTGCTTTCGAATGTACATGTAATATGTAAGCAGTGTTTCGAAAAGACGACGGATCGCGAGTTGACTTAATTAAATTGTTTGCCAAATTGACAATGGAGGAAAATTGGCAAGTCGCGAAGTTGTTGGCCTCGATATTAGTGGATGAAAGGGGCTAAGGGATACAATGAATCGACAGACTCGTCTTTATTGCTGACTCGATAGAGATAATCGATCGAGTGCGACATCCGTTGTGACTGCGGCTGATTATACTTTACTCTGTGTGTCATGTGATCTATTCGAACATTCCCCCGTGCAACGAGCGAATACCATTGGAGAGACAAAATGTTTACGTGTTTGTGGAATTTCCTCGACTGGTAAGATTTAATTAATCATCTATTGTTCATAATGCTATATACGCAATACATCGAATTCACCCCTGCTCAGCCACTCCCGTATTATTTATATCGCACGACGATAATAGCTCAATCAGGTTTTACACCGATTCAGGATTTATGAATAGATGACCCATTTGCAAGCAGCGTGCTACGTAGCTGCGTTGGGAGTAAAAAAAAGTTGTCGGGAATCTCCCCGAGATTTCAATATTAATACAGGATTGGATTTGTATGAAAAATAAAGCTAACATTGTTTGGGGTTGGAAAAAATCCCCTTTACAATAAAGCCCTCAATAGGAAATTTTTTGAACTTTGTAACCGTAGAGCTGCAGAGTCGCGCGCGCACAAAAGTGCTAGTAGATTGAACCTGTGTATGTGAAAAAAGCTGCTACAGCGCCGGGTTTTGTCTTATAATACGACACCGCGCGCAGCTCTATCGCTATATGGCGAATACGTACAGAGGGAGGAGAAAGAGAGAGAGAGAGAGCAAGGGCTTGCGCGTACCCGTGAGAGGCTTTAAAAGCTTCGCTGATTTTTTTTTCTATTCTTTCTCTCGCTCTTTTCTGTTTCGTGTGTGCAAGTGTGCGCGCAGGACCAAAGAAAAACAACATTCCGAACGCATGTATTGGTATTACAAGTTGTGAAAAGACCGGAAAGTCCGTGCACCCGCCAGCGTGCCGGCTGTATGCATGCGAAGCAAAAAAAAGTGCACCTTAGTACATAGAATGAGATAAAAGTCGAGTAATGGATAAAGGAAAGTTATTCATACAGTTGGTTCAAAAAAGCTGCTTTGTTAAAAAGCCGAGATTTGTTAAAAAGTCGCGTTTTGTCAGTTGAAAATTTGGATAAAAAAAGATGAGGACGCGCCCGAGTTTAGCGATATACTAGCGCGTGGGTGTTATCAATCCGTCGACCGCAGAAGCAAAAATTTTAAAGATAAAAAAAAGCACGAAAAAAAAGAGGAGAAAAAATCGAATCTGAGCCCGATAAACCACAAGTGCGCTCCGTGCTTGTATCTCTACCCTCGGCATTATGCGCTAGCGCATCAGCGATGGCATATTATAATATAGGCAAGATAACGACGTGGGGACGCCGACATAATATACATAAGAAGCATACTTAGTCTTAGCAGGTGCGCCCGCCTGCGCACTTACTCTTCACGTTCCACATTCTCGCTCGTCTCCCAGCTAGAGCTGCTGCTGTGTATAAGCGCGAAAGAAGCGCGTTATGCACTTCTTGAAGTGCTAAGCCTTCGAGGCCTCCCCCTTTCAGCTTCGCGCGCGGTTTTTGACTTATCGTACGTACGTATATGAAGTTGTTTCACCTACCTACAAGTGTGTACGTACGTACATGTATATAATAATAACGAACGAGACAATCGTCGGAAATTGTCGCCACACATAAGGAGTCGTGAGTAAAAGCCGTCTGTTGAGAGAAGAACAATTTTTAAGGTTTATTATGCTTTCAGAGAGCTCGGCAAGAGCTTCTTGTTAAAAGGGCCAAGAGTTCCGTGATCGTTGCGCTTCTTTAGGGTGTGACGCATATAACATGCTAAATCACATCTGTGAAACTAGAACAAATATCTCTAGAGGCCAAATTAAGCTTTTGTAATAATGCATTCGTTCGCTTACGTATATAGTTGTCGACAGAAAATATATGGAAGCGAAGAAGCGATCGATAATCGATGGGTCATCAGCCGCTATATAGCTGTCGAACCCCCTGAGGAATACGACAAAGGCGAGAGAGAGAACGCGACATTTGCCGAAGAATAATGAGATTTAATCGTGCACTGCTGCACTTTTACCTGGCTTGGTTTTTGTATCCTTGTTCTATGTCTCTCGAAGTCGTTGCATGGAAGTCTTATTAATTGCAACTTCTCCGTGGAAGAAATTTGTTTCTGTATATTTTCGTAAGTCTCCACCTTGAGATTAGAATCCCAACAACGTAACCATACCTCAATATTAGTTAACTTCAAGTCGAAGAAAAGTGGATTAAAAAGAAACTGTCGTGTCACCGCGAGACGTGTCTGCATTATGCACTTAATTAAAAGTAGTTGCCACAGTACCATAAAGTATACATAAATTCAAATAAACATTGCAAAGGCATCGTAGGAAAATTGACCTCGAAGTCGCCGCTTCGTTTTTTTTAGCTGCAATGCCGATAAAATAATCACCGCGCGTCGCATTGTCCGAGCTGGATGCGGACAATGGTATTTCGGCGTTTGGAGCTTTGTGCGCGGAAATAAGCGCCACGCGAGCACTTTTCAAAGACAGACAGTATACAAGTGCATCTAGAGAGATTCTTCGTCGAGTTCGTATTGGAAAATGTAAGAAAAATGCCGAGTTCTTTCCTCTCCTCGCAGCGCCGTGTACTTCTATATATATTTGGCCTGTAAAACTGATTTGAATCGCGATTCCGCCCGTTTCTTGTCCTCTTCCGTCACCGTTTGCTTAGTTACGTAAGTTGAAAAAAAACGAAGGGACAGAGAGGAAAAAACGGGGCGTAAAAATAAATAGGAAAATTTCGCTGTACCTTGCGAATGATTAATGTTCTATTACTGTTAATAAGTATAGCCAGAGCTAAACGAGTATTTGAAACTTTGATGAGGAAAAAATTTGAGCTATATACACCGCGAGCCGAAACTTCGCATCGATTTTAATAACTTGGGTGCGTTCATAAAGTCCAAGTATAGCGCAGCGGCGAAAAAGTCGGGACGAAAGTATATATGCGTACACGTAACAGACAGAAGCAATATCTCGACTTGGCAAACGTGCAGCTGCAGAAACGAAAAAACTTTTTTTTTCCTTCTTCGTCTTCCTGTGCGCGACGGTGACGACTGCGACGACAACGACAAGAAGCCCTCAACGTCACGATTGGGTAGGCTAACTTGGGGCTGTTAGGCGCAGTGGTTTTGAACCGTATAGATTAGTTAACGCTGCCTACAATGCTTACCATTTTTTTGGTCGTGGTAGACAATAACCGAATGAAAGAGTCAAGTGACGACCCGCCATTTAATAAATTTCCTTGTTCAAATTGAGTTAGACTAACACGACGTGCAAAAAGCTCCCGATTACATTACAAAATCTGATTCCTGACAACTATATGCAAAGTATATGAAAAGTATTTCAAAACATCTAGTGTTAATTTCAAAAAAATTAAAAGTACATCGAACTTGCATCAACATCTAGAGTGACGAATAATTTAATTCATTTGTTTCAGGCTCGATCAGCCGGTGACGAATTCAAACAGCGGTATGGACAACAAAAAGGTAAGAATGTTTTTTGTTCGCTATTAGCAGCCTACGAAAAAAATTTCTCTGAGAAAAAAAGCACGAACGTGATTATAAGCGCGTATATTACGCGGGATAGGATACAAGCTTTATTTGCATCTAGAGCGATACGCCGCTACAACGTGCCGAGGCGCTTTTGTTTTTCTCTCTCTTGCTCTCCTTCTCTTTCGCGTTTTATCTGCCGCTTTTATTTAGCTCTTTTTCTAATTATGCACACACGTGCTGTAGTGTTTAATACGCGCTCTGCAGCTCTATCTCTCTCTCTCTCTCTCTTGGTTGTTTAATTATCTTACAAGAATACACGCGCTCGGCGCGTCCGACAACTGCACGCGAGGCAAAAGTTTCATTGTTTTTAATAACGTTAACGTTATAAAAGCGAGTTTTTTACAATTAAAATTGACGGCTCTGTTTTGCCACGGAAAAATTTGCCGCTATGTAAATGTTGGTTTAGCAATTCAATTCAAGTGTTTCTAGTTTTTGATGAAAAATTATCACTTGATGTCATAATATAGTCATCAACAGTAGCAAAAAAGAAACGCATTACCGAGAGAGAATATAAAAGTATGCATGCAGCGTTGTTTATTATTCCTTGCTCACGAGGGCGTGTGCATTTCTTCATTAGAGCGCGCGAGCTAGACGGCGGCGAAAATCTGCTGACAATGGCCTCAGACTTTTGTCTTCGAGCCGTTCACGGGTCCATTGACGGCAATCAATTACCTTCAGATGATAATTCAAGTTTGAAATCGATCCAGGTCAGCGGCTAATTGCGCCTGCGGTTCGATTAATTATCGTATGGAGGACCTGCAGTCAAGTGCGACGACACACTTAGTTGAGCAAAAATTTCATTTCAGCCTCTCTAATTATCAATTGATAAATTTGATTAATTCTGAAGGATCTCTCGATGCGAGACAAACTTACACAGCATCGCAGCGCCCTCTTTATCGAGGCACGCTGACAGTAAAAATAATCATAAAATCATAAAATTATTTTTACGCTAATAAATCGTCGAACGCACAGGAATGCCGGCTCGGAATTTCTGACCTGGAATCTTTCAAACATCCTGTCGTCGAGTATTCTTAAAATAACACTCATGTTTTCCTTTTATATATTTCCATAAAGGAGCTATTCACTCGCCGATCGAGCTCGCATTCCCAACGGTAATTATTTATCCAATCAACGATATACGCGTCGATCCAGGATTTCCAAGCAGGATTGTATGTAAAATTAAAGTTCTTAATTGAATTCGTTACACCGTTAAAAAGCGTGGATGGTGCATAAAAAAATTTGCGAGTTTGAAATTGCCCTCGTGTCCCTTCGACCACGTCGTGTTGACCATTTGGCTCGAGCATAGAACGGCCGAGAGATTCAAAGCGTGAATCTCGTTTCGCGCGCGTGGGTGCGTAACCTTCTTTCAGAAAATCCAATTGAATAGTCATGGTTGATAAATTAAATGAACGAAAAAAGGATTTTCAAAGCGTCGTACGCGTGCGTATTCACAGGAGCATCGGATTTGCACCCCTTGGGCTTTTTCTTTTGCAGCTTTAGAGTACATACAATTACTTGCCCGCATTTTTCACCTTCTGCCTCGTCGTAATATATTTTCAAATTGAATTTCTCATTCGACCCATAGCTAGCAACAGACACGGCTGAGTTCTGATAAGTGAAACGATTCGAGTGCGATAGAAAAAACGATAATTGGACGGCAAATACCTACTTTACCAGGTTGTAGCGTTTTAATCGCGATTTTTATCATCCCCACGATCCTGACGGTAAATAGACCCCGTCGCGAATTTCAATCGCGCAGCAAAAGACTCACGAGTGGCTCGCGTGAACTCGATTGTTTTCGTAAAGTGAGCTTATCTGCCGCCGCTGACGCTACTACTTTGGAGCATCGATATGCATTTTTGCACACGTACGAGGCTATAAAGGTGTAATTACCTCGTTTCTCGTATATATACGGCCTGCATGTGATGTCCGCGATGCTCCAGAACAAGTTTGACCGTCGAGAGCTCAAAGTAAGCTACGAAACAGCTTGTTATAGTTTAGTTCGAGTTAATCTTGATGAGCTGCCGTAGGATCTCTCTCTGATAGCGGAATCAGCGTCAAGACATGCGCCGGATTTGCCGTCCGTATTTCCCTAGGGTTCAGTGTTTCTTTATAAACCAGTTTTTTTCACCGTTAAATTCAAGGTAGAATTTATATATTTTACATCTTTTTACGTGAAAAGCTTTTGAGTTAAGCCAGACGCTGCGCTGCGCAGATCCCGAGTGCAGCTCCTCTCGCCCGACGTAACTTCTTCGAATATCCGTCGTTTGGTAAAGTTATCACTTCTCAAGAGCACGAGTTGCTAACACCGTTTGATTTTGCGCCCTTGATGGGATCTTCAGCAGCTGCTTCTGCGCTTGTCACAGTTGTCATTTGCTTAGCGCTCGCTTTGGTAAATCTCACTCACCGCTGTTCTGTACTTTTCTTTGCTGCACTTTCTTCTGCGAGCAAAATTTAACCTGATGACCTCATCGCTAAAGTGACTGTAGAACTTCATGTGCCATATAGGTACGGAGACTTGTTGTTTAATGAAATCCATATTCATGAAATGAATTCAAACTCGAACGATGCTAGCTTCTGCACTCGAATGTAGGCAAATACATTTGCTTATACTTTGGCTTAGCTTACACAGTCGCTCATAGAAGCCTCATATACTTGTGCGAGATTTTACGAGTTTGCGAGCGAAAATAGCTTTGATACTCGGTTGTATTCAATTAATAACCTATGACTGAATATACTTGTAAAATACGCCAAAGTCGAACGTTAGATCTAACGATTCTAATAAATTCGATATTCAGTCCTCTTATTGGCAATGAGACTAATGTAATGAGTTTGAAACTACGCATACAACACGGTGTTACTCTAGCGATGCAGTAAATAGTTTCGTTTATGAGATATTAGCTCTATAAATAAAAATTAATTTAAGTATTGAAATTGGTTGGGTGGATAACTTGGGTTCTTGAACTATAATTTATCATGATTAAAATAAAATCGAACATTAATATTGAAGTAAACAATACTGCATTTTTATAGTATTTTTACACGAAATCTTCTTTGAAAATTATTGTATCGGTGCTGATTTCTTTTATTATATGAACTGCATAAAAAATGCATGAGAACGCAATCAATGGGCATTACTCTTAATGCAAAAACAAACGAAAAAAAGATTTAATTCTATGCTCGTATTAAAACATTTCGATTGAACTTCATCATAAAATTTCATTCATAAAATGTATGAAGATTCAGTCATAATTGAAGACATCTACCACTAGATGGCGATTACTTATATCTGTAACTCTGCAAGTGGTAAAGTAAAAATAATTGTATAAGTAAAGCAGCGGTTCAAAAACAAAATAACATCAAACATCTGGATGAAATTTAGAAAGACGCAAAAAAATGGACATTGCCCCTGAAGAAACCACGAGCTAGTCACGGTCTCGAATTTACGATCTCCCGAAACTCGTAAACGGATATTTAACGAATGTATTTTACGTTATGAACGATGGTTTTTTATTCAATAGGCGCATGCATATGAAAGCGTGTCACATAAACTACGTTGATGTTTCAATGCACTCGCGGGGCTACATGTATGACTCAATTCGAACGAGTCTCGATCACGAGCGCGCAGTAGCCATTGCTCGAGCTACATACACGAATAAATATGAGTATATACATCGCTTTAGGAGTTCGCGTCAAAACGAACGCGCGCGAGTTACTGTGTGTGTGCTTTTTGCGCAACTTTATTTGCTTTCTATTATGTTCCGTGTGCGCGCTCGAGTGTACCGCTGCTGCCAGCTCGCACGATGTCTACATCGTATGCAGCGCAAATAAATCGCAAAAAAAATTGGGCATAATACTCGCGATTCGGGCCTCGATACGTATTAAATAGACTCTGGACTGAAACTATTGTCTGCGCGTCCGATGCCGTTGAGAGATTTACACGATCGTTCCCTAGACCGGGCTGTGTTTTTCAGCAGTGCTGTACTGTACATTTCTACTTGTGCTTCTTTCTGCCGCTCTCGAGCGCCGCATAATACTATACAATATATCTGTGTACAACACCTCATTATGACTTTAAAAACAGACGCGCGAGCGGAAAGGAGGGGGGACTCTCCAAAGGATCGAGCTTGCGGCGCCGCTGCTCGACACTCGAGACTCGATTCGCGAGAGTTCCCATACATACCCCCTACGACGAGCCAAGTGTCTGCAGCACACGCTGCGTCTCTCTCTCTCTCTCTCTATCTCTATGTATTACACACACGTGCCCTGCATATAGGTATGTAGTATGTACGTGCAGGATCGATTCAGCTCTCAAGCCGGCCCCCGAGTGTTAGTTTCTATGCGGCGATATATATACGTTATATGTGTGCCATAGAGCTATTCGTGGCCAAACTGCACCGTGTCCTCCTCCTGTCCGGTGGTTAGATATTATGTACTTGCATATAATGTAGCGCATAGACACTGTACACGGCGTATCGAGATTTCGCATTGAGCGCGCGCCTCATGCGATGCGGCTTCCTGGCCAATTGTTGTGTAGGCTCTTCGAACATATATATATCTATATTATAATATATCGCCCGAGCGGATATCGGCCGGAGACTGATGAGATGCGATTATTTTCGACTTTTTGAGCTGAGCATTACAAAGCCAAAATGCGCGCGCGTAAAATGTATAATGCATACGTCATCGAAATGCATTACATTTATCTATCGCGAAAATACTTGAGCTCGCGGCGAAAGGAAATCGGAAAACTGCAGTGCGTGATTAATCATTCCGCGCGCGCATATACGCGAGACTCTGCGCGAGATACGTCGATTTTTGTCTCCCTCCGCACCGGTAAAGTATCGAATTTGTTATTCTGCTTTGCATAGGACACACCTATACAAAGGAACGATGAGCTACACACACACATACAAATTTTACATAATCAGGATGTGGGTCAAGCGCCAGAGTTTGGAAATTAAATTTTAAAATCTATATCTAGAGCCGGCCGATGATATTATCGGCGATCGCGTATACCCGTGCTTTGTTTCATAAATTATCCCTACGTATACTATGGTATAGCTATATATTTCGGGGCTATATTTATTCAATTATAATGTAATTTCACTTCGCATAATACGCGTTTGTTATAGCTATATACACCGAGCGAGCGCGGCTCGTGTTATGGCGCATCGTTGGGACGATTTATCTTGAAGCGATTATTTCACTCGCGTACGTCGTGTGCGGTAAATTTGTTTGGCAGCGATTTATCTCATTACTTTGTTCTCAAATGCGGCAGCTCGGGCTATAATGTACGAAATCACGTTTTATTATAGAAAGTGGAGAAAAACCGAATTAATATTATTATCCTCGCGTCAATCAAAACGATTAAAATGCTCCTTTTCGAAATTAGGCTGCCTCGAATTTTCTCTATGAAAATCACCTGTCGAGCAGCCGAGCCAGCGAGTGGAAAAGAAAAGCCGGTAAATACACACGCGTAAAGTAAAGCCGGAAATAATTCTCACTCTCTTTGTATCTCTCTCGGTCTCTTTCTCTCTCGCTTCAGATCTCGAAATCATCTTCGAATGTCGTTACATTTTCGTATACGCCACGAATAAATTTAATCCGTGCATCGCGTACGCCGCGCATAGTTTCGAGTCGTGCGCGCGCGGCCGTATCCAGCTTGATCTAGCCGATGAAGCGATGCCGATAATTTATTTCTGTAGGCACTCGAACCACTTATTGCTTTTATGCTCCGTAGCTACGTGTGTTCTCTATCTCGCTGTCTTTCTCTCTGTGCGCACGGGCTCGTTTCTTCCTCTCTCTCTCTCTGCAATACCCAGAGGCGAAATAATTACGACGATGCACACTTGGTACGCGTCGCGTACGCCCGCAGGGGCCTCACGGCAGGCACAAAGCCCTTTTCCCATTTTCTACTCATCGCACCTCGACGATTTTCCAATTTTATCTCTGCGCGCGCGTATATTTCTAGGTAAGTTGTCCGCAAGCCTCCGCCACTGCACTGCTGCTGCCGCTGCTGAGCTGCTGGCCCGGCTGCCTGCCTGCCTGCCTGCCTCTTTCTTATTGGATTGAAACAATGAGAATATTACATTTAACTTTCATCGCTGCCTGCACGCGACTCGAAGAGCTAGCTCTCAGCTCTTTCTCTCTCTCTCTTTCTCTCTCTCTCATTGAAGGGGATCGAGACAAACGAGCTCGGCTTCTAACGCTCCGAACAAAAGATTTTTTTCGTGCGCTAAAAAAGTTTATCTTGTCGAAAGAAAAGAGCCCTGGCCTTAATGCACTTGAAGCGGCGCTTGCGCTTGCGCGCCCGAGAATATTCAATCATGCGCTCGAGTGCCAAGAAGCACTTTTATATCTAATTTATATCCACTTACCAATTTTCGAGTTTTTATACCGACGCACTAATTATACGCGAGTGTCATCTCGTTACCCTATCCTATTATAATGAGATGATTTACGCAGCCTAATCGTTCGTCCTCTTGAATTTCAATATTTTTTGCTTTTCTGTTTTCAGGCTGTCCAAGCGATGACTGCACCGGTGAGCGGCGTCGACGCCCAGCAGGTCCTGTCCAACGCTCAGCCACCACACTCGCAGCAACCGGGGAGCGCTCGCAAGTCCGAGCCGGTCGTCGCCTCCGCGATATCGGGGGTGCGACGGCGTGGGGTGCAAAATCAAGGTCTTCGCTCACCCGCGGCGAAGCGACCCGTCTCGGCGCCCGTCGCCTTACAAGGATGGCTTCACAAGCAGGGCTCCGAAGGCCTGATGCTGTGGAAGAAACGATGGTTCGTTCTCTCCGAGTACTGCCTCTTTTACTATAAAGGTTTGTTATACGTTTCAATTTATTCTAATAAGCTGTATAAATAATCTATCTGCCGAGCTTTAAGGGCACAAAGGGGGCTTAAAATCGAAAAAAATTTTACTTTATTTTCGAGTAAGATTTTTTGTCCCCTTTCCATTGCATTTTTTGAAACTTCAAAATTTTGATCATTTAGTGAGATACAGCTGTTTTCGTGAGCCATTTTTGTATACCACGCGTGTTAAATTTTTTCAATCGGTACCCTCTGAAAGTTACGATAGATGACCAAAAACCCTACTCGCCAGAAAACGCAAAAGAAGAAAAAATTTAACACGCATGGTATACGAAAATAGCTCACGGAAACAGCTGTATCTCACTGAATGTTCAAAATTTTGAAGTTTCAAATAATACAATGGAAAGGGTACGAAAAATCCTACTCGAAAATAAAATAAAAATTTTTTCGATTTTAAACCCCCTTTTAGCCCTTGAGCTTTTTCCGAAAATAATTGTTAGTACCGTCTCATAAAGAGTCCTGAGGAATTCTAATAAGCTTCTTGAGAAGTAATACCGTATGGAACTGTTCGAGGTTGGATTAAATCCCCTACTCGAGTCCATCGACGACTTTTCAGCGAGTATCGCGAGTTCGAGTTTCTAATAGAAATATGAAATCTTCCTCCAAAATTAGCATCATTATGCATATTACGCTCATAGATGTCGAATGAACTTCATTAAAACGAGAAAAATTTCGCTAGAGATAGGAGTGACGCGTTTATATAATATGAAGGCTCAAAACGACAATCAAAGGACCCTGTACGCGAGCTGCGCAAACGTCAAAAAGAAATCAAGCAACAGCAGCTGCGCGTCTGCAGAGCGCAGCGGAGAGTAGGGCTTCGCAGTCGCATGCACACGCGAGCGTACGGCAAAGAATTTAAATTAAAGAGAATTGCGAAAGAAAAGTGCACAATGCGCGAAGTCGTTGACTACTCTGCTGCTGCTGCTACTGGGATGAAAACGAGTTTGGCACAAGAGCACACACACGCATACATAGACATACGCGTGTACGTATTCCACTCTCTTGACGCTCGCGCGCGCTACACTTGAATCAAATGTATATTTGTATACGACATGACTTTAGCTGAACTTTTTATTATGTACCCGTGTATTATAACTATTACGACTAATTTTTACTTTTATTTGACGCTGGACCTTCTTTTCTAATGTATCTCGTCTTTCTACATGTTTATTCATACGTTTTATACTTTCCTTTCTCTTTAATTTTATTTTTAACTGTCATCATTATGCTCTTGGACTTTGAAAACGTAACATTGTTACTTGAATTTCATTCTTGTCGAAAAATTGGTTAATTTTCTATACAGGGTTAATTTAAAAATTTTTTCCCTTAATTTGTTTCCTCATATTTCATATTTATAGTAGTACTTTAAATTTTTCGTTAAAAATTCTTGAAATACAGTAAATTCCAACGTTCCGTGATATTTCGTTATTTCCGACTGATGTGCAGCATCAGGCCGCGTCAGACTCGATTCCGTGTTCTTTAGAGCCGCGCGAGACTGCTCCTATCGTAATGTGCAGTGCTCGCAGCATCAGTTTCAATCCTCTCGTTAGTACATGCATACGCGTGTACACACTCACACACACACACACACACACACCTGCATCACTCTTTAACCCTCAACGTGTACATGCCTCGGCTCAATATTTGCCGACAGAGCCAGCTCGCAGTAGTCTTAACCGCGTAGGCTTTTTATACGCGTGACAGTTGAAACTCGATGTACTACCAACGGGGTAGATGTTGGCTGCTCTAGCTTTTCCTTTTTACTCGTGCTGTTTTTTTTGATGCTGCATTTTTTCACGTATAACTGCATCTCCGAGACCGCTGCTATCATTACAAAGACCGGGACACCCTCTTTTTTTTTCTCTCATTCTCTCTCGTACACTTTTTCGATTCACTCTTTCTTTATTCGCACCCTTTGAAGCGTGCTGAATGCCCATACAGCAGTTATCAGTATTCGAGCAAGGACCGTACGTGTCACTACGAATGGCGGCTTTATTGGCCTAAGCGCACGTTGATTTTTTCCTTTTCATTGAGCGTGTTCGGTTGAAAAGTAACACTCGACGCGGTGTTATTTTCCTGCTCGTTCCTTGTTATTAATTCTCGTTGGCTGCAACATGTAAATGTATACATGTATCATACCGGGAGTACAGAAGGTAATAGCGAAACGAGTTTAAGCTCATTGGATCGCGTGTTATTGCATTGCAGGTCCCGAGGAGGAAAAGCTTCTGGGATCGATTCTGCTTCCGTCCTATCGAGTTACGGTATGCAGGCCCGAGGACAAGATCAACAAGAGATTCGCCTTCAAGGCCGAGCACGCAAACATGAGGACGTACCACTTCGCCGCAGACACGCTCGAGAGCATGAATCAGTGGGTGAACGTCTTGACTCTAGCCACGCTACTCCAGGATCCTAATCCGTAAGTCATACACGCGCTTCGTTTATATATTGATCTTCCTACGAGTCGCGAGCATAGACACGACTTTTCACGCGCTCTCCGTTGGTTGATCAATTTCTTTCTTTGCTCGCTTGTATGAACGGTTGCGTCTCGTTACGTGCGACGCTTTTTTGCCCTCTTGATAACGAGCCATATAGCTTGATTAAGAGAGACCACTTCAAGTAATAAAAAGCAGTGTTCAGTTATTTTATATCGATTAAGTATACGAAATAAATGTGTTTTCTTTTTTTTTGTTTTATTAATTGAGCCATTGAATGCAGAATAGCAAAAATTTCGCGTGATCTTTAGACGAACAATTATTTCAATAATTACACTATTTATGCATATTTTTATTTTGTGAAGATGATGGACACATTTTTTTAATTCCATGAAAATATAATAAAATGGTCAAAATATGTACGGATTTTCCTGTTTTAAAGCAACAATTTTAAACATTTTCCGTGAAATTTTCATTCATTTAATCCTCGCGCACGTCAGACACGCAAGTAAAATTTCGTATCATAAAAAACAAATGTAATAAAGCATGATAAGTTTTATGCGTTTATGAATTCAAAAAGTATGATAAACGAGAGTTTCAATTTTTTCCTTAAAATTACGAAACAACACTTGAAATAATTTTCGTCCGTAAAGCTTTGCCATTTTTGCAAAAGAAGTGATACCATTACGATCGTTATTGAATCAAAATGCCTCTATTTTATCACGAAACAGTGGCGGAGGAAACGTAACTACTCCGGTTGGAGGCGACGGAGCCGCACCCGCCCTGGACGACGGTGGCGATCGAAGCGCTCGACCCAGCGTCTCGTCCATCTCGTCGATAGCCAATCAAAGCGCCGACGATAGCGACTCGGGCTTCCACGGCTTTCAGTCGCGCGACGATCCGAGCCACGCGTCTAACAACAACTCCAGTCCCAACAGCGTGAATACCGGCTCGTTTCCCGGCAGCAGCGGCAGCAACAACAACGCCCAGCTGCCCAACAATCCCAACGTTTACAACAATAACGCGAGTCTTCACGAGAACGCAAAACAACAGCAGCATCAGCCGATGGCCAATGGCTGGATGCAGCAGCAGCAACAACAATCGTCCCAGTACAGGCATCATCCCGACCTGGTGAGCCAGAGCCCTTACGTCATTCAGCAGCAGCCCCATCAGCATCAGCAGGCTGGCATGTACCTGCAGCAGCAACAACAGCAGCCACCACCGCCGCAGCACAGTCGTCAATCGGTTCAAAATATGCAGCCGATGCCTCGCAATTACGGCCAACCGGTTTACGCGAACGCACCACCGAAGCCCCGACGATTGGCCGAGAATTCCAACGAATTCGGCACACCGTCGCCCGACCTCGATTATCGTCAATCGCCGGTCTCGCCCGACGCCAGGTACGGCGGCAGCGGCAGCAAGCAGACTTCCATGTCGGCGTCGTCGTCGCTCGTCGATTACAACGACCCCAGAAGCAGTGCCATCTACGCCCAACGCATGGCTCCGCCACAGCCCAGCATGTCCTTGAGAACCGACAAGTCCGGTTTGAATTACGGCATGAGCGCTCAGCAGCAAGGCCAGAAAACGCCGGATCTGTATGCGCGCGCCGCTGCCAAGTCGAGGCCCGCGATGCCTAGACTCGCCAACGGCACCGATTACGAGGACGTTTACGGGGCGACGCCACCCCAGTTGTATCAGAGACCAGCTGGCCCGGTTGGCTACACGAAGGGCCCGGCCCCGGCGCCTATTTCTATTCCCGTGCATAATCAGCAGCAGCAGCAGCAGCAGCAGCAGTCGCAACCGCAGCCGCAACCGGTGCAGCCACAGTACTACGTTGTTGCCGGATCCTTGACCAATGGTAAAGTTTTTTTCGCGTCGTGTGAAAAAACAAAAAACTCTTCTTTTTCAAATTGTAACTTTGTCGATATCGTCGTCGTTGCAGCGCCTGTGATACGGCAGCAACCGCCACCACCGGAGCCGAAGCCTCAACCGCCGAGACCCCACAGCGCTGATTTTCTCGAATACGAAACGAATCGCAAGCCGTCCCAGCAAACGCCGGCCCAACCAGTCACTCGGGTCCGATACCCACAGAGACCAAAGTCCAGCCTCGACGTAATCAATCCGTCGGACGTACCTACTGTCAACGACAATTACTTCTATTCAGAGGAGAGGTGAGTTTGATTCAAATGTATGCCAATCGAGTGTGCGGCCCATATTCTTCCTAACAATATACATACAAATGCCATTCTCAATGAAGATCGATTAATCTCTATCATGTATTCCGAATTTAATTCAAAAAGCTCTCATTCTGGTATTTGCATTGTCAATATTTAAATTTCCTCGGTTAAAACAATCGTTCGTGATCTCTTTGCTTTGTAATGTAAATAAAATAAAAGTATGAATCGATGATAATGATTCATCGACACACGAGCACATGAACAAATTTTTTAACCGAAATATCCCTCGATAGCGACGGACAAACAACGTCTGGCTCGTCTGTTTGCAGGTACGCAGCTCAGATGCGTCAAACCGGGGCGGTGTACTTGCAGCATCAGTCTCCGGCGGCGTCGGCCTCGCAGTCAGTCACGGTCGACGGCAGTGCTCCTCTGCAGCGAGATCAGCAGTCTTCGAGGAATCAGTCGCTGTCTCGAGCCACGACCCCGTCGAAATCGTCGACGTCGCGCGACACCGAGTCGGGCATCGGCACTCTATCGGACATGTCGTATCCGACCACGTCGAGCGTGAGGCGAGCTCAACGCGATCATCATCAGCAGTCGCTTCAACGACACAACGAGTACGATTATCATCCTAATTTTTCAGCTAAAGATGTCGCGATGGAATTTCATAATTTTCAATTTTACTAATTTTTGAAATTTTGTGCGTCTGAACTCGTTGCAGCCGTTACAGCGAGTCGGCGGCTCACACGAGGCGCTCGCTGCGCGAAACTTCCTCGCGGTCGTCGTCCTTGCACCAGCAGCGCCTGGATCTGTTGCCGTCGCCATCTTCGAGTCGCTCAGCCAATCACACGCCGCAGCAGCAGCAGGGCAGCAGACGCTGGAGCGAGCAGCAACAGCAGCAGTTCGCGCGCTCGGCTAGTGCGAGACTGCCTCGCAATCGACATCCCGCCGCGATAATCGATTACGACGACAATGACGACGACGACGAGTACGACGATTACATCGATAAGAGCATGAATCTGGAAGCGTCGAGCAACGGAGAGCGCAAAATGCAACAGGTGAGTCACTGGGGCAGCGTCAGTGGCAGCCTACGCCGGATTATATCGCACACGCAATTTCCCAATATATGTTTTGCTTGGCTTTATTAAAAAAGGCCAAAAAAAGTCAGGTTCAACTTCTTCGAGAGAGAACAGTTCTCGGTATACATAATTGTTTACCTGCACTCGCATGTGCCAAAGATTAAAAACCAGTTTTAAATTTCGTGGTAATACTGAATAAAAAATCCTCGCGCAGTCTTTCTTCGCTTCTTCGCAAGGATGTATACCGCTGCGAGTCGTTGTCTATAGTACAGGACCAATAATAGACAAATCTAATCCCACTCATAAAACAGGCGACCTTTGTGTACGAATCTTCTTCGAAAAGGAGAAAAAAAAGAAGAAAGAAGCAAAATATATATAAATGTCTCTCCTTTCTCGTTTCAATGGCGCATGTTTTTTCCTTTTTTTTTTTTTTTATCAAAACGATGTTTAGCAGGAAACCGTTAAAACTCGTACACGGTACCGTACAAATCTATTCAAGAAGCTAGTCGAGTCGTCTTTGATCTTATAAAGGAGCTGCAACAGCATCAGCGCAACGTCTCAAGTGTCGAGCGCATTTCCTGCCCATCGGATAAAGCCGCGATCAGAGCGCGCGCAGAAATAAAACTAATCACGCAGCAAAAAAAGAGTCGCGCCCGCGATCCTATGGAGGTGAATCACGAGTGATAAGCGCTCACGCGGCTCGCGTATATAATCACCTATACACACAGCTGTCATATTATGCGAATGGTGTGCTGCGGAGCTTTTACCTCTCTCTCTCTCTCTCTCTCTCTCTCAGTCTCTTCTACTCGGTCTTCGCGGCGCGCAGCAGTTTTTAGTGCGAGCGCCCGCCTGACTCATCGCCGCATAATCTTTTCTCTGTCCTCTTCCTCGAGCAGATCTGACTTTGCATGCGGTGTACCGCAGTCGGGAATTTGCTTTGCCGTCATAATGTCGTAGGCTTGCCGATCGTACGGACCTGCTCGTACATTATCTTCATTAGTTTGCTGTGCACTTGACAAAGAAATTCATGTTTGGGTCGCGCTCTAATTAAAAATCTGCGTCATGAAGCTGGAATCGGTTCTTTCGGCGATGGGCGTTGTGAGTATTAAATGGTTACTGTCTTCTTCAGGAATTTTCCCTCAAAAGATAGAAGAAGCATCGTATCCTTAGTGCCTTCAATCGATTCTTTTCTCGGTTAATGTTAAAATAACCATAAAAAACTAAAATATTTTTTTTTTGTTTTCAATCGCCAGCGCGAAGAGTCGATGAAAAGACTTCTCGAATGGAAGCAGCGCATGCTCCAGTCGCCCTTGACGCGAAAACCTCATCACTCGAGCAGCGGTGGCAGCAATCAGCCTCGCACGCCTCAGCACAGCACCGATCTGGCCAATTGCTACAAGCAGCAGGCCCTCATGGAGCTGGCAGCTCACGAGGCCAGTCTTCAGCAGCAGAGGCAGCATCGCCGTGGACGCGGCGATGAGGCGCATCATCGGCCGCATTATCCGCGCAGCAAGAGCACCGACGCTCGGCGCAGCAACGCGGCCAGTGTCTTGGGCATGCACGCCGCCCTGCCCAGATACAACAGTTACAGCAGCGACGATGAAGGTAAGTCGAGCCTTATAATTTATCTGACATATTGTCATTTTCATGACGAATTGCGAGTATATTTAACGTCGATGCGAGGGGTATTGTCGCGTTACCCTGTGAGACACGCTTTGTCTGCCCATAAATGATCTATTGACTCGTGTCCTTGTGAAATTTTGAGCTAATTGATTTTCATTTATTTTGTTACAAAAATACTGAAATGACGAAATTTTCACTCTCAATTTTTCAACGATGCGACGTTATTTTGTTCAGATTTAAAGATTTCTTAGTAAGAAGCTTGTAGTGGATATATAATTTTTATAGTACTAATTCATTAACATTTTATTAATAAGACTATGGCTAACATAATGATTAATGCACAAGTCACTTAACTGTTATCCCTCCGACGATGATAAAGACTTATAAGACTCGTACATTTTTTCTGTAAAATTTTCCTTGTATATTATTCAATATTTTATTCCGTATAAAGTCATTCATGAAATTCCAATAAATGTTTTTCACATTTTGTACTTAAATACATCTTTTTTTTACCTAAAATTGGATCAGACTCCGAAATTGTTTTAAAATAATTTTTTTCGTCATTAAATCTGTAAATTTTATCGAGCTGCGAAGCTACGTATTCAATCATTTTTTACCATCAAGTTTTATGGCAAAATTTTCATTATAAAGTGTCGAGTGCAATCAACTGTCATTCATCTTCTGGTGTAAAAATAGTGTGTGGTGAATAGAATACGCAAGGTCAATACGGAAAATGAAAACAGTACAAATGAGTATCGTCGTTTAGAAATGAAACGTCGAGGGATGGTGATTGTGTATGGCCTGGGCTCTGGGCACTCTGGTGACTGGAACATGTATTTATATTAACACTTTGTGGTACATACTTATAACTTTAACGAGCTATCCCTCTGATTCCCAATAATATCCTCTGCTTTTTATCGCCTCATTACGCATCATTTCCTTCGTGTATACGTACGAAGTGTTTCATACGCGCGATGACATTGGCGCCGTGTCTACTGAATTATTACTTTCGAGCTATATCGTCAGTAATCTATAAGTCGTCGACATTGCAAGTGTGAGTAAACACTTCGACGTATAATGCATGTATGGCAACATTCATTTCTTTGCATGGAGCAGAAAATAATCTAATTATTGGTGTTGTCTTGACTTGTTTGTAAACTATATCCAGAAAATGTGTGCACTGATCTGAAATTCTGCCTATACATTTATAATATAATTCATGCACGATATAAATATGATAAAACTGGAGCAGTTTTTCTCTTACAACAATCATCCTTACATACGATCCTTGTACATAGCTCCCTTTTCATCTCCGTATCTCTCTCACTCGGTAGTTTGCGGTCCTTGGTATAAAACATCCAACCCATACGTATCATAAAGGGATTCACTTTCACCGATATGATGTGTCGTTTTCTTTACCCTGGATAAACTGGTTATGAGCCTTCGCGTATGCGTACATGTGCAGCTGAGACGCGGACCGCCTCGCGTGCATGTGCATATACGCGAAATGCCAAGCGAGCGAGGCCTTGAGGTTTTAGAAAAGAAACAAAACGATCTTCGCACATACCAATATCGTCGCGATTATGTTGCACATTTGACAATTTCTTGCTTCTTTTTCACTTGTGGTCATTTATTTTTGTCAATGCTTTCGCAGCGATATGCAATGTAAAATAATACCGAAACTCTTAATCGTAAAACTAAACGTGCAAAATTTTCAATTTCTTTACTCTCTCTCTCTCTCTCTATCTAAATCTATTTCTCCCTGTCTCTGCTCTTCATTGCTTTGCTATCCTCGCTTTTCTTATTTAGAACAAGTAAGTGCCCTACACAAAAGTGTTAATCTAAAAACATGTTTCTTCTTTTGCCACGACCCAGAGCTGATTGGCGGCGATGTCAGGAAGAAGCGCACACGCAGTAGGCTTCCCCGTAGCAGTCCACGCGATTTCGAAGCCGCCAACGTGCCATCGTCGTCGAAAGCGATCCCGGTGCCACCGTTGGTCTCGACGTCGCACGCAGTACCGCAGCAGCCGATGCGCAGCTATCCCACCACCAGACCGACTTCTTCGATGAACGACAATATGCCATACGAAGAAATGTCTTTTGGCATGCATTTACAGCAACAGCAGCAGCAACAGCAGCAGCCACCGCCGAAGCCCCAAAAAGTATCCAAATCACCCGTCAGAGAAGTAAAGCCTATCATGAAAACGCCAAAAAAACCGCTCGGCATTCTCAAGACTTCTGGCAGTGCATACGCCGCGAATAATTCCAATGCCAAAAGCGAAGCTGGTAGGATGAGTAGCATGGGCTACTCTTCGAGAGATGGTGGTACTTGGCCCGTACAGAAAAATGTTCAATGGGATACGAGTCCGAAAATCAGCCACGACAATGATTGGGATGAAGAGGAAGATAGAGCCGTTAAAGAGTACACTTACCGATACGTAAAGCAAGAGGACTGTCAAGACGAACCGGCGCAAAATGAATTGTCTGACAGTGCGGCTAATTTGGTTCAGGATCGTATCAAGACTTTTCAGTCTGGTATGAAAAATTCTAGTCTCGAGAAAGAGGTCACTTTTCAGGAACCCGTCAAAGTTTCGCCGCAACAAACGATATCGTATCAGATTCAAACGCCACTGCCACATTTACCTGAATCTTCGCGCAAAGCTGCTTCGATCCGAGAATTCGCACTTGGTCAACAGGGTAAAAATCAACCGATCAAAGCTGCAGAAGAAAAAGAGCAAGAGAATGTCGATACATCTAACAAAACGGTCAAAGATTTGCTCGCCAATTTTGAAAGGAAATCGCAGCAAGTCCAACATCAGCAGGAACAAGACAAATTGCGTAACGAACTTAAACTTCGGGGAGCATTCAGTGACAACGAAACTTTTCAATGCGACAACGAGAAAGCAAATAACGTCGAGCAATGCATTGTACCCAATTATCAAGAGTCACCCAAAGATAAGTGCAGCAAAGATAATCAGCAAATCGACGAGCTCGCATTCGCTCGATTGAGTGTTGCTGAATCTTTGGTGACACACGGTGACCGCGAGGACAATGCCGCCAGCCCATTGAACGACGAGGATCATTACCTGCCGATGACTCCGCGTAAGGCTATGATTGAAAATAACGAATCGGACAATGAAAAATCACGACCAATGCCGAAAGCTATGGAGAGTTTGTTCGCCGAGATGCGCGAGGAGTGTTCTTACGTAGAGATGACTCAGAACGGTACGCCAAAAAATCTCACGACCGAATACACGGCTCTGGATAATCCGCATTACGAGTTCGTTTGTGTATCTGGTAGTAAACTGGAGCCCGTTTACATGGAGGTCAGTCAGCTGACGGATCAAAACAGCAAAGCTTTGAATGAGGCTAATTTGAAAGAAAAAATAATTAAGAAAGAAAGTAATAATTCCGAAAGCCAGAATTTGCCCGATATCCTTACAACTCTCAAGTCCGACAGTTCGGACGCAGACGACGAATCGTCAAAGGATTTAGACTCGATCGATGCCCCGAGACATCCGAGATTCAGCTTATCCGATACATTCAGACCAGCATCGTATTACCTGGGTGCGAGTCAAACACTGATAGCGGAAATGCAAGATTCGTCGGGCAGTGAATTGGTATCGCCACCACCAATACCTAATTCGGCTCCCTCTATGGAAGATCTCGATTCGCTCGAAATGCACGATTCGCTGGATCTGAAAAAGCCTTGCGCCGAAGACTCTCCGAAATCCTGGAATAAACCTGGCGCTCAAGTCGAAAGTACTCGTCGCTCATCGCCGTCGCGCTTTTCCGAGTCGAGCTTCCGAGATAGTCGAATGTCGTTGGAAAGTGCTTCCGGCAGCGACTCCGTGGAATTGCGAAATTTAGAGGAAGAGGCGAGAATGAAAAGGAGACCAGTGAGCGATGACATGTGCGAGGTCCTCGACAGTCTAGACGAACTTGAGTCACTTGGCAGTCGATTCGATGGTACGAGCATCGACTTGGATCAATACCTCGAAGATCTACAATCCAGGGATGCTTTCAACGTTGACCTGTACACCAAAGAGATGAGTTACAACAGCATTTACGGACTTAACGAAAACTTGCTCGTGGCCGATAAGCTACATCATAAAATGTATCCCGAAAGCAGTACCGCGCCACCTCCTTTGGCTCCGAAGCCGACACTCGCTGCCACGGGGGTGAGCAGCGAATCCCTCGACCAACCGTTCAATCAAGGAAATAGAAGCAAGACCAGCTCTGCTAGCAGTCTACCTTCTATGAGAGTCAGCGAGCAGGTGCCACCGCACAATCATCAACACTCGCAGTCGTTCACCGGAGACGTACACTACGAAAACGTGGCGAGCTTCTCGCCCATGCCTAGATCGTCTCCTGCAATCGAACGTCAGGAACAACCAACTTACAGACCTCCTACTGGCCGAACGGCACCCTCACCTTTGGCTACTATCGTTGCTACGCACAGTCGAGATAACAGTTACTCGTATGTCTCGGGTACGGCATCCGTAGCCAATTATTCTGCTCAACGACCAGCCAGTGCTCAATCAGCTGCAGCAAGTGAACAAATGAGGCAGCAGCAGCAGCAGCAGCAGCAGCAACAGCAACAGCAACAGCAACAGCAACAACAACAACAACAACAACAACAACAACAACAACCAACAGCTCAGCAGATGCAACAGCCACAGCAACAACAATCAACAGCTCAGCAGATGCAACAGCAACAACAACAGCAACCAACAGCTCAGCAGATACAACAATACAACTATCACTTTAGATCATCAAGTCAGGACTCTGCTAGGTATTCTTTATCGCCAAATCACCGATCTTCTTCAAGCCAAGACTCTAGTCAGTATCCCAGTACGAGTTCTGGGGTATCCAGGGTCAATCCTAATGCAACGCAATCCGAGCTGGGTGGTGCGCCATATTATTACTCAGACTTACAAGCGGGAAGTGTCGAGCCTCCAAGGCAAGAACCTACCCAGCAA